TCACTTCAAGAAAAGGCCTCAGCGGGCCAGGGAACTACCCACAAACTGCCTGTGAGGAGTGTGGGGCAACGGGGCTCCCTCAGAGAGAGGAACCCGGGAGTGGGGTCCAGCAGGGGTACAGAGAGGACTGCTCCCACACAACACCTGACTTTGCTGTTTTCCTGGTGTGTCTTGGGTGTCCCGTGAGAAAAGGCCTCTTGGATCCCCCCAACACACAGGAGCACGTTCAAGGCTCTGATAAGTCCTGCAGGAATGAAGCCTGGGTGAGCCTGCCTCTGCCTGGTGCCTATCCTCCCACACTTGATGGACAGGGGCGACTTTCCCAAGTCCCCAGGGGAAGGCCAGTGAGACAGGCTTTTTTAAGGGGGGGAGATCCTCTTGCCTCAGGCCCAGTGAGGACATTAAAGGGGGTCCAGTGAAGACCATCCCTGAGGGAATCAGTGTAGCAAATGCTTGGAGGGAATGGGTGGTACAGACAAGGAAGGGTGGAACAGTAGGGCCAGGGCCCAGAAAAGCCAATGCAGGGATTATTGACAGACTCAACGCAGAATGTGTGTTGGCATGTCGGGTCGATGATGCTGGGGTGCAACAGTCAGTTCTCCGAAGGAGGGAATTTGTGTTGAAAATGTTAATGGGGCAACATCAGTGTAGAATGTACCAAAGAGAGCTGGAGAAATTAACACAGGCTGTGTGTGTATGTGTGTCTCTGTGTGTGTATATATGTGGGTGTGTGTATCTGGGTCTGTCTGTATATATGTGTCTGTGAGTGTGTACAGTATTTGGATGAGCCAGTGTGGATGGTACGGGAACTGTCTAGATCTGGGCTATCCAATATGGTGGCTGCTGGCCACACCTAACTACTGAGCACTTGAAATGTGGCTGGATTGAAATACACAGGGGAGTCAGAAGACTTACTAGGCAAAAATTAACACAAATGATCTCTAAAAGTGTGAAACAATGATTTTAGGCTGAAAAGATACTGTTTCTGATATACTGGGTTAAATAAAACATACTATTAAAATTAATTTCATATCTCTTTTTTTAAATGGGGCAGCTACTCGAAAACCAAGACACCAAACTCACTGTCACTGAGTTGAATCCAACTCACAGCCACCCCCATTGGGTTTCTGAGGCTGTAAATCTTTATGGAAGCAGATCGCCCATTTCTTTCTACAGAGTGGCTGGTGGGTTTGAACCACTGACCTTCTGGTTAGCAGCCAGATGCCTCATCCACTCTGCCACCGGGCTCCTTGGGGCAGCTACTAGGAAGTTTACAATTGCTTATGGGGCTCGTGTCCTACTCTTGTGGACAGTGCTGGTCTAGAGAGTGTCTAGGGGTGTCCAGGATGGTGATGTCTGAGGGAACCAGTGGACACGGTGCAGGAGAACCACGGTAGAGTGTTGAGGGCTGTGTAGACAGAACTCGGACAATCTAGTGTGGCAATGTTGGGGAGGGTACATAACCCCTGGATGAGCCAGTGTAGACGAAACTGAGGCAAGGGGAGTGTAGAGCACACTGGGGTGACAATGTAGACAGGGTTCCAGGGATCCAGTGTAGACAATGAAGGGAAGTTCAACATAGCCAGTACCAAGTGGAGGCAGTAACAATCGTGCACTGTAGCTCAAGGGAACTGGCAGACAATGTGGGGGCTCCCGTGTAGACAGTTCTCCAAGAGAGCCAGTGTAGACAATGCTGGGGGACAGTATAGACACTGCCTTAGAGAACCAGTATAGAGAATGCAGAGTCAATGTAGACAGTGGCCAGGGGAGCTGGTGTAGACAACAGTGAGGGCTTAAACAGCTGGTGCAGACAATGGGGCCCAGAGGGAGCCAGTGTGGACAATGGTAAGGCAGTGTAGACAACAGACAAGGGAGGTGGTATAGGTGTTGGAGGAAGCAGTGTTGACAGCAGCCTGGGGAGCCAGTGTAGCAACACAGGGGAAGGTCAGTGTAGACCGTTCCTCAGAGAAGTGGTAAAGGCAATGTGGGGGGCAGTGTAGACTGTGCTCAAGGCAGCCAGGCTAAAATGGAGGGTGTCAGTGTAGACAGTGGCCAGTGAAGCCAGAGTAGACAACATGGGGGGCAGTGTGGCTCGTGGCCTAAGTAGGTGGTGTAGACAAGGGGCGATGGTGTTGGTGATGGCCCAGAGGAGCCCAGTGTAGACAATAACCAGGAGAGCTGAGCAGATCATGGGGGTGATGTCACAGTGGCCAGGGGAGCCAATGTAGACCACGGCAGCATGCAGACCATAACCAGGGGACAGAGAGGACAGTGGGAGCAAGGTCACAGTGTCCTGGGGAGCCAGTGTAGACGGGGGACTGAGGCAGCCCGGCAGTGGCCCTTGCCCTCACTCACAGCGCACGGTAAGGGCCATGGGCAGCAGGTCCGGCCCCTTGAAGCTCTCGTGCTGCACTTGACACGTGACGTTCTTGTTGTTTGCCTGGCTCGATGGCACCAAGGTCAAAAGGCTGGTGACACTGACTGTGCCAGGCAGGGGGCCTGGCACCTGGCTCGTATTGGCCTTCCAATCCACACTGGCCTTCCAGTCCAGGGGCAAGGACCAGGAGATGCGGGCAGGTGGGCGGCCGCCGGTGGAAGTGCATCGGGCCACAGGCACAGGCACCGGGCTGAGTGGGACATCCACCTCCAGGGCCTCTACGTGGTTCTGGGGTCGGGCTGGGGAGAGGAACAGAGAAGCAGTGTCTTGGTTATCTAGTCCTGCTATAACAGAAATATCACAAGTGGGTGATTGTTTTGGTTACTCTGTGCTGGTCTAACAGAAAATACCACAAAGGGATGGCTTTGACGAATAGGAGTTTATCTTCCTACAGTTTAGGAGGCTAGAAGTCTGAGTTCAAAATGCCAGGCTCTAGGGGCTGGGGGAAAGCCCCCCAACCTTGGGCTTCAGCTCTGCCTCTTGCTCCCGGCCCACTGAAGCTGGAGGCGTTTCTTCACTCAGACAGCTGCTGGCTGCTGAGGCTGACAAGCCCAAGGTTGACAAATGAAAAGGCACAGTCCTGATATTATCAAACCATACAGCAGGTCACTGATCCAAGTCCACTACAAATTCCAAGATCAGCAGATAACATGGCAGGTTGCTGAACAACGACCAGGCTACACCCAAGATTCAAGTGTGCCAAATGCTTGAGACTTTCCTTAAAGCTGCTGCTTATATACAGGAAACAGACCACATCCCTAAGGTTGCTCCAGTAGATTCCACCATGGAGTTGATTACCAGTCTCACCATGGGGAATAACTACTACCAGCTGCCCAGCCACTGCAAACCAGGCCCAGCCAGGTTGACACATAACCTGAACTACCACAGTGGCTTCAAAAACAAATTGATTTTCTCACAGTTTAGGAGGCTCCAAGTCTGAATCCAGAGTGCCAGGCACTGGGGGAAGTTTCTCTCTGTCAGCTCTAGGGAAGGTCTGTGTATCTTCAGCTTCTGTTCCTGTTTCCTTGGAGATCTCCATGTGGCTTGGCACCTATCTTACCCCATCTCTGCTCCACTGGCTTGTTTAATCTCTTTTATATCTCAGAAGAGATTGACTCAAGACACGCCCTACACTCCTCCTTCTTAATTAGCATAACAAAGATGACCCATTCCCAAATGGGATGATAGCCACAGGTATAGAGGTGAGGATTTTTCAACCTCTATTTTTTGGGCACAGAAATCAATCCACAACAGGTGGGTCACTCCTTGCCTGCAGTCCACTGCTGATTGGTAGAGAGGGGCTTTAAGGGTTTAGGCCAGATTCAAATTCCAGCTTTGTCCCGTAACAGCTGGCAGCCTTGTGTAAGTCCAGGCCTCAGTTTCCTTGTCTGTCAGATGAGGATAAGGATAGAATCATAACCGAATCAAAACTCAAACCTGTTCCCACTGAGTCCATTCTGACTAATGGTGACCCCACCATTCAGTCGAACTGAAGGCCATAGGGTTTTACTGGCTGCTAAGTGCAAGGTTGGCAGTTCAAACCCACCTGGCAGCTCTGCAGGAGAAACACTTGGCAATCTGTTTCCAAAAAGATTCCCCCCAAGAAAACCCTATTGGGTAGCTTAGCTTTGTCACATGGGGTTAACATCAATTAGAATAGACTCAGTAGCACCCCACAGCCTTCAACAAAGCTGAGTCCTGGGCCTTTTTTCCATGGTGCGGCTGGGTGGGTTTGAACTGCCAACCTCTGAGCTAGCCAAGCTCAAACCATTGAGGGACCCTGATAGAATCACAGACAATGATATGTAGGTAAAGCTCTTAGAATGGTAACCCACTGCCTTCAAGTTGATTCTGACTCACAGTGACTGACCCATAGGGTTTCTAAGGCTGTAAATCTTTACGGAAGTAGATTGCTCCCATGGAGCAGCTGGTGGGTTTGAGCCACTGACCTTCTGGTTAGCAGCCAAATGCCTTACCCACTGCGCCACCAGAGCTCCTGTACTTGGCACACAGTTAAGTGCTCGATAAATATTATTATTAGGTACTGACTCCATTGCCTGGCTCAGTGGTAGACAATGCTGGGGACCCAGCAATGACCAAGACAGCCCTGGCCTTCCCCCCATGCAGTCCATGGGGGAGAAAAACGTTTGTTCTGACAGTGAAGACCTGGACTGGGCAGGGCTCGGATCCAGGAGCCCAAAAGGAGTGCCTCAGACTGGGACGTCAGGGAGGGCTAGGCTGTGCCCTGAAGGCTGAGAGGGGAAGTGACTTGTCCAAGGTCTCACAGCTGTAAGTGACAGGGCTGGGCTCTGTCTGACGCCATCTCTTAATCACAGCTCTGGAGATTCCCAAACCTGGGGCTTCCCTCAGTTCCTCTCCCACCATTACCTAAGCCTAGTATTTACTGAAGGTTCCTCTTTAACTAGACTCACCATTTCTGTTTGACTGTCACCCTAAGCCACAAAATTCAAAATCCCAAACCCATTTCTGTTGAGCTAATTCTGACTCATAGTGACTCTATGGGACAAAGTAGAACTGTCCCATAGAGTTTCCAAGGCTGTAAATCTTTACATAAGCAGACTGCCACGTCTTTCTCCTGCAGAGCGGCTGGTGGGTTTGAACCACTGACTTCTTGGTTAGCAGTTGAATGCTGTGACCACTGCACCACCAGAGCTCCTACTCAAAATCCCAGCTATGCTGAAATGACAAGAGCTCCCTTTGTGTTGGGTGCTGTGTGCCAGGCACCGTTTCAAGCACCAAATCTTTCATGACTTTACTCATGCAGTAAACTTGATCTTCAACACTTCCTGGCACCTAAGTAAAAAATAAACGTCAGCTATTACTAGTTCTCACAGCAATTCCCACGTCCCAGGTGAGGAAGCTGAGGCACAGGGGCTTCTTGTTCAAGTTCCAGGAGGAGGGCCCATCAGAGCCACCAGGAAATTTAACCCGCAAGTCCACCACAAGGCCTGTGGGCATCTGGGTTCCATGAGGGCAAGCCTGCGCTGTGGGCATCACGATGCCTCCTTCCCCATCTGCCCGTTTCACCTTTCCCTTCCTCTCCAACCAGAGTGCAGCAACTGTTTGTGCGATTACTAACCTACAGGTTCCAACTCACCCAGTGGTTCCACAGAAGAAAGACCTGGCTTTCTGGTGCCATAAGGATGGCTGCCAAGAAAACCCCATGGATAACAAAGGGCAAAGTTATGATAACTTCTTGGCCACAGCCAAGCACCCAGAGGGAGTGAATAGTTGGACCTGTGGGCTCGGGACCATGGTCGTAGAGGACATTAAGCTCAATTGGCCTAACTTACTACACAAACACATTGTTCCATATCCCACTTTGGCAAGGAGCAATTGGGATTTTCAAAGCTTGCAAGTGGCCATCTGGATGCAACGATGGGCCTCTCCTCATCCAGAGCAAAGAAGAATGAAGAAAACCAAAGATGCATGGAAACAATTAGCCCAAGGGACTAGTAGACCATGTGATACTCAGCCTATATGACCATTAGACGAGAAGCACTAGATGGTGCCCGGCTACCACTGTCAACTACTGGGAGGGGGATCAACGCAGGAGATCCTGGATAGAGTGGGAGAACAATGCGGAACAAAATTCAAATTCATAAAAAAAGACCAGGCTTACTGGTCTGATGGAGCCTGGTGATACCCCTGAGACTATGGCCCCTAGCCACCCTTCAGGGCTGGAACTGAACTCACTCCTGTGGCTTCTACCCAAACAATAGATAGGCATATGGGGTGAACATTTACACCAGGCAGATACTCTCCTTAAAGTGTGGGAGAACTGAAGGGCAGTGTTTGCACAAGGAGACAGCTGGGGGTGTGTGTGCAGGAGTGCATGGGAGGGAAGGACATAGGGAAGAGGTAACTATAGGGAGGAAGTGGGAAGAGAGCTGTTACATTGTGGGGAATTGCAGTCATGCCCTGAAACAAAATGTATTATGAACTGCTGTATGGAAAATGAATTTGCTCTGTAAACTTTCACTCAAATCACAGTAACAATTAAAAGAAAGAAAGAAAGAAAGAAAACCCTATGGGGCAGTTTTACTCTGTAACACAGGGTGCTGTGAGGTGGAAGGGACTCACTGGTAACAAGTTTGGTGTTTTTTTTGGGGGTCTAAGGAAAGTACACAGGCCCATCAATGAACCCCACTCTGTTCTAAGTGCTCCACCTGGACAAACTCACTGGCGTCTGAGGGCAGCACTGCTGCTGTGAGCTGCTGGGCAGCCGGCCCCTGCTTCCTACTGACCCTGCGCAGAACAGGGTAGGACCCCCTGACCCACAGGGTTCCCTTGGGCTGACCGTCTGTTGACGGCCAGGCCCTTCTTCCTCGTCCATCTTAGTCTAGAAGCTCCACTCACACCTGTTGAGCATCACGGCCACACGGAGGCCTCCACATGAGGCGCTCTGGCTGGACTGGAACCCGGCTCCCCTGCAGGGAAGACCAGAATTCCACCCGAGAACCACCGCCGCCCTCTGGGTGCTATTGTTAGCAGCTCCGTTTTCTAGCCGGGGAGAGGAGGATCCGAGAGGAAACCACCTGCCCACCTGGTAGGGGCGGAATAGGCATTCAAACCTGGGCCAAACCCAAAACACCAAAACTTGTTGCTGTGGACCTGATTGTCTCATGGCGACCCCATTCGTTACAGACTAGAACCCGCTGTAGGGTTTTCACGGCCGCAATCTTAGTGGAGATAGTTCACCAGAATTTCCTTCCTTGGTGCCAAGCTTTAGGTTTGTGGTGGAGGGCAGTCTGTGCCACACAAGGGCCTGAGCCAAATCCAGACCCTCCCAGCTCTCCCCTCCCCACCCCCTGCATGCTCTGCCCTCAGTCCCCAAAACCTTTACTCCTCTGATCTCCACCCTGCAGTCCCCCATCCCCTAACGTCCTCCCCCTTCTGCACCCCCATCACTGCCCTGCCCCTTCCCCTTGTCCCTCCAGAATCCCTGCCTTCCTCACCCCTTCCCAGCCCCCCTCCCCGCTCGCCCACATCCCTCCCTTTTACTCCCCTCTCCTCCCCACGCCCCTCCCTCCTGCTCACCTAATACATGGAGCCAGGTACCATTCTTCAGGGTGCCTCCTGGGAAAGTGACAAACTCGCAGGTGTAGTAGCCCTCATCATAGGGGCGGAGCCCCTGCAAGACCAGCGACCCGTCCCGTAGCTCCTCGCCCGGTCGGGCAGCGACAAACGCCATCCTCCCGGGCTCGGAGAACACAGTGTCTCCTTTGTGGTGGAACGTGGCCACGCTGCTGTGGGGGTCCTCTAGCCGCTGCCACGTCACCTGCAGCACGACCCCCATGGTCTTCATCGACTTCAGGTAACATGGCAGTGTGGCATTGGAGCCCAGGTAGCCCTCCACCTGGGTGGGCATATCCACGAGGTCCTCCTGGGCTCCTGTAGGGAAACGGTGTGGGTCAGACCCGGGCGTCTGGGCCCTGGATGGGGAGGGGTGCTCAGAAGGCTACACTGCGGGGTGCTGTGGCTTCACCAAGGGGCTGGGGACCATGCCAGGTGACAATGTCAGCAGGAGACACCAAAATGTCTGTAATATTTCTGTGTAGTGCTCAAAAACATTGTTGTTCATCCTACTTTGGTGAGTAGCAACTGTGGTCTTAAAAGCTTGCAAGCAACCATCTAAGATGCAACAATGGGTCTCTCCTCATCCAGAGCAAAGAAAAATGAAGAAAAGCAAAGACACATGGAAACAATTAGTCCAAGGGACTAGTAGACCATGTGATCCTCAGCATATATAACCATGAGACCAGAAGAACTAGATGGTGCCCGGCTATCACAGTCAACCACTCAGAAAGGGATCAGTGCAGGAGATCCTGGAGAGAGTGGGAGAAAAGTGTGAAACAAAACTCAAAATCATAAAAAAGACCACACTTACTGGTCTGATAGAGACTGGTGAGACCCCTGAGACTATGGTCCCTAGTTACCCTTCAGGTCTGGAACTGAACTCACTCCTATGGCTTCCAGCCAAACAACAGACAGGGCTATTATTGTTGTTGTTAGGTGCGGGTCAAGTCAGCTCCAACTCACAGTGGCTCCATGAGCAACAGAATGGAACACTGCCTGTCCTGCGCCATCCGCACAATCCTTGCTACACCTGAGCCCATCGTTGCAGCCACTGTGTCAATCCATCTCATTGAGGGCCTTCCCCTATTTCACAGATCCTCCACTTTACCAAGCATGATATCCTTCTCCAGGGAATGACCCCTTCTGACAACATGACCAAAGTAGGTGAGACGAAGTCTGGCCATTCTCGCTTCCAAGGAGCATTCCGGCTGCACTTCGTCCAGGACAGATTTGTTCATTCTTCTGGCAGTCATGGTATTTTCGATATTCTTCGCCAACCCCGTAATTCAAAGGAATCAACTGTTCTTCGGTCATCCTTGTTCATCCTCCAGCTTTCCATGGCTTGGGTTAGGCGTGCCTTAGTCTTCAAAGTGACATCTTTGCTCTTCAAAATTTTAAAGAGGTCTTTTGCAGCAGATTTGCCCAGTGCATGCGATACGACGTCTGATTTCTTGACTGCTGCTTCCATGGGTGTTGATGGTGGATCCAAGTAAAATGAAATCCCTGACAACTTCAATCTTCTTTCCATTTATCATGATGCTGCTTATTGGCCCAGTTGTGAGTATTTTCGTTTTTTTTTTATATTGAGGTGTAATCATACCGCAGACTGTAGTCTTTAATCTTCACCAGTAAGTGCTTCAAGTCATCCTCCCTTTCAGCAAGCAAGGTTGTGTCATCTGCATATCGCAGTTTGTTAATGAGTCTTCCTCCAATCCTGATGCCACGTACAGGTGAGCATTTACACCATGTATGTACACTCCTTAGAACGAGCAACCACAGGAGAACAGAAGGGCAGTGTCTGCACAGGGAGACAGCTCAGGGGGCAGGAATGCACAGGAAAGAAGGACACAGGGAAGAGGCAACCACAGGGAGGAAGTGGGAAGAGAGCTGTTACATTGTGGGAATTGCAGTCAATGTCAGGAAACAAAATGTGTATGAACTGCTGTATGGAAAATGAATTTGCTGTGTAAACTTTCACCCAAATCACAATAAAAACACTTTTTGTGTGTGTAGTGTTTCAGCAGAAATGTGTGATTTTTTAATAAAAATATCCCTGTAGTTATAACAACAAAAACATTTTTATAAGCCCAGCTTACAATTATCAATACACCTCCAAGGCTAAGACTCTATGCTAATTCACTTCCTGAACTGTCTAATGCCCTCCTGTCAGAGCAGTTGTTACCCAATTACAATGATGCTTTGAATCACGTGACTTCATCTGCAAGTGTGGGCTGCTGGTGTTTTTACAGTTGCTGATTTTGTCACATTTTCTGTTGTTTAGTTACAGTATTGTGGTAGTGCCTAAGGCACTTGACTGCTAACCAGGAGGTTGGTGGTTCAAACCCATCAGCCACTCCTCGGAAGGAATTGGGCAATCTACTTCCGTAGTAATAAAATCAAACCCAACCCAACCCAACCCACTGCTGTAGAGTCTTATCTGACTCATAGAACCCTCCTTGGGTTTATGAGGCGGTATCATTACGGAAGTAGAGTACCCAATCTTCCTTCCAAGGAGTGGCTGGTGGGTTTGAACTGCCAGCCTTCTGGTTAGCAGTCAGATGCCTTAGGCACTACGGCACACTCTAAGAAATATTACATTTAAGCCGTTTACAACTCTATCACTCACTATTTTATGATTAAAATCTTTCTCCTGCAGAGTGGCTGGTGGGTTTGAACTGCCAACCTTTGGTTAGCAGTTGAGTGCTATGACCACTGCACCACCAGAGCTCCTACGCAAAATCCCAGCTATGCTGAAGTGACAAGAGCTCCCTTGTGTCGTGTGCTGTGTGCCAGGCACCGTTTCAAGCACCAAATCTTTCATGACTTTACTCATGCAGTAACCTTTTTTTTTTTTTAATTGTGATTTGAGTAAAAGTTTACAGAACAAATTCACTTTCCACACAGCAGCTCAAATACAATTTGTCTCATGACATTGACTGTAATTTCCCACAATGCAACAGCTCCTCTATCAATTCCTCCCCATAGTTACCTCTTCCCTGTGTCCATCCCTCCCATGCACTCCTGCTCCCTGAGCTGTCTCCTTGTGCATACACAGCACTTCTGATCTCCATGATGGATCTCTCCAAGGAGTATATCTACTAATGTAAATGTTCAGCTCATATGCCTGTCTGTTGTTTGGCTGGAAGCCCCAGGAGTGAGTTCAGTTCCAGACCTGAAGGGCAGCTAGTGGCCATAGTCTCAGGGGTTCCATCAGTCTCCATCAGACCAGCAAACCTGGTCCCTTTCTTTCTTTCTTTTTTTTTTAAAATGATCTTGAGTTTTGTTCCACATTGTTCTCCCACTCTATCCAGGATCTCCTACATAGGTCCCCCTCCGAGTGGTTGACAGTGGTAGCCAGATACCATCTAGTTCTTCTGGTCTCGTAGTTGTGTAGGCTGAGGATCGCATGGTGAACCAGTCATTTGGACTAATTGTTTCCATGAATTTTTGGTTTTCTTCATTCTTCTTCGCTCTGGATGAGAAGAGACCCATTGTTGCATGCAGATGGCTACTTGTAAGCTTTTAAGTTCTCAGTTGCTACTCACCAACATAGGAGGTGGAACAATGTAGTATGTTATGCGAATTGAGCTTGATGTTCCCTGAGACTATAGTCCTGAGCCCATAGGTCCAACTACTTGCTCCCTCTGGGTAGCTGGCTGTGGCCAAGAAGTGACTACAACCTTGTCCCTTGTCAGCTCTTCTATATACCTGGGAACACTTACAGAACATATAAATACACTTATAGAAACACTGTCTATCAATGCTATACGTGGTCATGGGCACACTCCCCTCTGCACAGATATACCTAATAGTTCAGCCTGTCCACCCATCTATCCATCCATAGATCAATGAGTAACCTTGATCTTGAACACTTCACTCCATAAGTGAAAAATAAACGTCAGCTATTACTAGTTCTCACAGCAGTTCCCATGTCCCAGGTGAGGAAGCTGAGGCACAGGGGCTTCTTGTTCAAGTTCCAGGAGGAGGGCCCATCAGAGCCACCAGGAAATTTAACCCGCAAGTCCACCACAAGGCCTGTGGGCATCTGGGTTCCACGAGGGCAAGCCTGCGCTGTGGGCATCACGATGCCTCCTTCCCCATCCGCCCGTTTCACCTTTCCCTTCCTCTCCAACCAGAGTGCAGCGACTGTTTGTGCGATTACTAACCTACAGGTTCCAACCCACCAGTGGTACCACAGAAGAAAGACCTGGCTTTCTGTTGCCATAGAGATTGCAGCCGAGCAAACCCCATGGAGCAGTTCTACCCTGTAACGCACAGGGGCACCGCGAATCAGGAAGAGCTCTTAGCAACAAGACTGGGGTTCTTTGTGGAGGGGTTCCGCTGTAACACATGGGGGTGTGCCACGCATCCAAACGGACTCGTTACTAGGGACTGTGTGTGGTCTGGTATGGGAGGAGGCTCATGGAGGGGGGTGACACATGAGTTCCCAGATGGGTGACACCAACTCTCGTGACACCGCTGGCTGAGGGAGCACCTGCTGGGTCAGGGAAGAGGCGTGGTCGGGCCTGGAGGAGGCTGCAACCAGTCCGCGCCATTACTACCGTATTTTCTCCATCCCAGCATCATCGGTGGCTTATCCAATCTGCAACTCTCCGTCTCTTGAGTTGTGCATTTAATCCATTAACATTCAGGGTGATTATTGATAAGTTTGAATTTGTTGCTGTCAT